CAGTCAGTACCGGAATCCTCGGCGTCGACATATCGAGTGACATTCAGTTTCGTGGTCACTTGGAAGAGAAGGCTAAATTGGCCTTTAAAAAGCTTGACGTGCTCAGCAGAGCGGGACAGTATTTCATGCCGGCACACCGCCTGCAACTTTACGAGGTTTACAGGTTAGGCTGCACATGGAATACTATTCCCATCTCTGGGCTAGGGCTCACCAGTACCAGCTCCTTCCACTTGACCGCATCCAGCGCAGAGCGGCTCGAATCGTCGACGATCGAGTGCTTTCCGATCGACTCGATTCACTGGCACTGCGAAGAGATGTTGCATCTCTTTGCATTTTCTTTCGCATATACCATGGGGAGTGCTCTGAGGAATTGTTTGGATTAATCACAGCCGCCAAATTTCATGAACGCACTACGCGGAAAACCTCCCAATACCATCCATACCATCTGGATGCTTGGCGGTCTACCAGTTTGCGTTTCATAAGGAGTTTTCTTCCGCGTACGACCTCTCTGTGGAATAGTTTACCATTTACCACCGGCGATTTTTTCGGACCGCTACGACCTGGGGACCTTCAAAAAAAGAGCTTACTCCTTTCTAAAGTGTTGCGATTGATCATGGGCGGTGGTAGTCACTTAACATCAGGTGAGCCGCATGCTCGTTTGCCCTCTATTCTATAAAAAATTATCTTAATATTAAATGATGGTCTCGTAACTGCTATTAAATATCCCAATCGTAACCCATCTGCTATTGCTGTCTCTTCTGCTAGTACATGGATGCTAATATATGGATATTACCTCTGCAAATGGTGAGTTCATGATGATAAAATATTTATTTGACTTTTTAATATATTTTATATATATATATATATATATATATATATATATATATATATATATATATATATATGTAATGGCGGTTGAGAATATCCACTACCCCATATCTTCCCGTGGGTGTCGTAAGAGGCGACAGAGGGACACAGAAAAGAGATGGGCAGCAGCATCTTCCTAATAATAACAATAACATAATAAAAAACTGCGGTTGCCAACCCGCTCGCCAAGCGTGGCAGCTATTGCAAATATCCCCCCATGAGCAACGACAGAAATAAACGGCCCCCAGTCCCCGGCGGCCCCGCTATTCCTGGCTACGGTGGCGACCATGGTAACGGCGGGGCAGGGGGTGCTAAGAATCTCCGGTGGAGGTTCGGTTGCCACCTACGACGACTCGACCTGGCAACGTATAACGCACGCACCCTGAGGACTGACGAGAAGATACTGGAGCTGGAAGAAGAGGTAGACAAACGACGGCATTTTGAAATGCAGCCACTGCTTCCTTGGCATCCATAAAACGTTTTCCTCGAATTTTAAAGGTAAAGGCAGACCCAGTAATTCCACGTCTGATGTCGCAAAGTAGTCGATTGTTTGTTTGGCGGTGTGCGACGAGGCGTTGTCGTGGTAAAGGAGGATCTTACTGAGATGTCATTTCTCCCGAAATTTTTCCAAGACAAGTGGCAAACAATTGTTATTGTACCATTCTGCAGTTTTTACGTGGTAGAACCACGCTGCAGTAGTATAAGTAGTATTGTTGTAGCACGAATGGGTCGGCTCGACCGGGGAAGGACCTCGCTTTCACAGAATACCAGCGTAAAATAGTAGCTTAATGCTGCTGTGTTTGTATGGTGAGTGTAAAGAACCGGAGACCCTTTTTTACTGGAAACGAGACATTCCATCTTAGCCCTCACGGGTGGCAACGCATCTGCAATTTGATTCATAATCGAAGATAAATGTAGATGTCTATGGGTCACAGCAACCACTTACCATCAGGTGGACTGTGTGCTCGTTTGTCACCCTATCTTATAAAAAAATTGTTTTTAAATCCTCTAAAACAATTGTTGCTTAACGACTTGTCCTTCCGAAGAACGAGGCCACCATTTTTTTTCCCACGCTTCGACCTCTTTTCACTTTAGCTGGCAACTCTTCGGAAGGAAACACCTAGACAGCAGACTGTCTCTTAGTTTCAGGATCATAACAATAAATCCAGCTTTCGTCGCCCGTAAGTATGTCGAACACAGCATTTGAGTCACCTCCGTTAAATCTTTGAACAATTTCACGACACCAATCAACATAACGGAGTTTTTGGGCCTCTGTCAAATTATGAAGTATCCACCGGACACAAAGCTTGCTGACCGCTAACCGCTAAATGTTCATGGAGGATTTTGAGTACTTGACTCATATCGATGCCTAAGCTTGTCCAAATCTGCTGATAAGTCAATCTTTTGTCAGTCTCTATCATACGCCGCACAACACTGATGTTATCTTCAGTCGTCGCCGTAAAAGGCCGTCTCTCAAGTAGATCATCGGGGAGATTAGTGCGACCATGTTTAAACTCATTAAACCAGTTGTAAATAGTGGCACAAGATGGGGTTTCACCGTGAAAAGCCAATCGACGTCTATCATAACTTTTTTGTTGACTTAAATGACATCGAAAGTCATAAAAAACATTGTACAAACATTTTTTGCATTAAATTCATGCTGACGTGACACAGACAATTTGAATTTGCCGCCAAATCTATTCTATTCGCCAAACCTAGTTTATTAAACATACACAATAATATTGGTAAAGAGTTCCATTTTCAAAATTTGTACTTATTTTTTTATTATATCGTTTACAAGTAGCCAGTTCTAAAAACTTTCAGTATTGCCCTCGTATTGGTCTGTAGTTCTTCAATAGAGCGTTGTTGCCTTTCTTAAAGAATAAGACCACAGCACTTTTGCCCCACGCCTCCGGAGTAGTGCCATCATGGAGGACAAAATTAAAGAGCTTCTGAAGACATTTCAATACCGCTTGTCCACCCGCTTTCAGAAGTTCCGCTGCAATTTCATCCCCGCCTTTCACCTTGCTGTTTTTAAGGTGCTATATAACCATTATAATCTTGCTCAGACTGACGTCAGGGATATCAAAGGAATAGTGTCGGGTTAGATTTGATCTTATGTCGCCCTCCTCGAACGGGTTCTCGCCTTATCGTGGTAGGTGGATTCAATAGCCGTGACTTGGTCACCCTTGGTTAATTGAGGTACCCACTCGGCTGGCCTGAGCTGAAGAGCCGGCCCGAGGTGGCCACTTCGAATAGGCTTGGCAAGCCAACTTAAGTGATGATGTGTTTGTGGGCTGCAGCGAGATGTTTATAAACTACCCTTACCACTGCAGCCGAGGTGGTAACGTGAGGGGAAAAGAGTGTTGGTATGGCGACGTGTCATTCGCCCTATCCTTCGCGACTCTTGCGGGGCCGCACCGTTTATGCGGTGGTGATGGGGCCGCGGAGGGAGAGGAGTATCGGTATAGCAAGGAGCCGCTCTCACTACCCTCCGCAATCGAAGCTTGGTTGGCGGCGAAGGCACGTGCTCGAATTTTTTGGCCCCCTAGCCTCCGCGTATCGGGCTCTAGGTGCCGACAGCGTAAGTGAGGTTAGGAAGGAGGCCGCGAAGGAATACACGCGTGCTGGTGCGACGTGCCTAAGAATGAGTAGGGGGAGAAGTTGTCCTCTCCCGAAGAGGGGTTACCATGGGTGGCCAGCACTGGTGTGGTTGCGGATGTGTACAAAAGCATTCCCACCAAAGGTGGAACACCATGGGGTTTTAATCGCTGGAAGTTCGATATAAGCTGTCCATACCCCCTCGGGTGGGTATGCAGGGGCATTTTCCCATGTAAAAAATAATTATCTTTGGTCGTCACTCATAAAAAAGAGTGTACAACCAGTGCGTGTTGCCAGTTTAGATATAAAATGTGGTTTTTCACTGCTACCCGAATAAGTAAGCTCAAGATCGCTCAGCGAGCTATAGAGAGGGCTGCGCTTGGAGTTTCAAGATTTCACAATGAAAATTTCGATGTATGCAGGTAGTTCAGGACGGTGCTTTGTGGCAATCCTTGGTGTAGGCCTATGTTTATGACAGGCTGTAATGATAAGGATAACAATTTATTTATTTATTTATTTATCTACTTCAAGTAACAAAATCTCATTTTATATAGGTAAAAGACAATTATTAACTTATAAACTAATATATAACTATAATACGTACTAATAAAATACATTATGCCATAGAATACTATAATACATACAAAATTATACTACTTTTGTAATGAACTTTGTAAGAAAAAATAATAGTGTAGTGCTATTATTTTTTCTTACAAAGTGCTAAATGTTCCGGTTTCAATAGTATATGGAGTGTAGATATCTGTGTTTTATATATTGATGTGCAGTTGAAAGTGAAACGGAGCTTGCTTAAAACACAAACCTAAAAATTTTGTCGAATTTTGACCACAAGGTGACTAGTCTATTAATACTGTAGAACAGAACTACTTTTGTTACGTGGTAGAGCCGTTCGGCAGCTATACTAAGGTCGTAGCACAAATGGGTTGTCTCGACCGGTAAGAACCACTCTCTCATCTCTCACAAAATACCAGAGTGCAATAGCAGCTTAATGATGCTGTGTTTCGTATAGTGAGTGTAGAGAACCGCAGGCTCTTTTTACTGATACCAAAGCTTTCCATCTTAATCCTCAGGGGTGACAACACATTTGAATTTTGATTCTTAATTGAGGATAAATGTAGATGTCTATAGGCCACAGCATCCACTTAACATCAGGTAGTCTGTGAGCTCGTTTGTCAACTTTATTATAAAAAAAAATTGTACCCCTAATCTTGACTTGTTTCTTGTCTCCAAGTACAAGAAATTTGAAAAACGACAAAAATAAGTAAGTAGTATTTAAGACACAACGAATCGCACACACAACGATCTTATTTGTCTCAATATCTTACATATTATAGTTTCAATCATCAGTTAAGGGGTTCTGAAGTTATCTGGAAACTCTGGATTGAAGATTACAGAGTGTTTTAATAGATATAGGTAGGTGTTACAACAAGCTGTAGTCAAAACACAATGAGGAGGACTGTGTATTTAGTCTCAATTGTGCTACATCAGTTGTTAGTGAATAGTTAGTCTACTTTCTACTTAAGTTTTATATGGTTTTTAGGTATGTGTTTTCTCCATTCCTTAATCTTTTTGTAAATGTGTTTCTTTATTTTGAACAAGACTGCTATTGACACTTCACATGTGAATATAATGAAGCTCAACACTAGAAACAAAACATAGCATTTGTAAATTCCTTCAACGTCATCCCAACCCATTGGTCTTACCGGAGCCTCTTCCTTGATGTCATTGTATCTATATTGCTCCCATTTTGTAACTAAACCTGCTTCAACGATTGCCAAAACATATTTGTTGTAAATCTCCGTGATTGCGGAGTTCTTCTGCAAAATCATATTTAGATAATGACTGTGAGCCCTGTCTTTAGCAACGTGCAAGAACTGTTGTCCCTTGTCGTTCATTTTATTTCTTTCCAAATATTTAGAGACCGCGCAGTCGAGCAAACAAAATCTACGGGTATCATTATTCATTTTACTAACGCAACCAAACAAATCTTTATTAGGTACAAGTCTGGAATTTATCTTACGAAATACATCTTTATCATCAGGCAGAATCACGTCAGGTGATGCCATACCTTCAATAATATAGCCCTTTTGTACAATGTCATCATACGAATCCACTTCTTTGCCTCGCTTAGAAGCAGAAAAGAATGATATTATGGCTGCTTGAGTAGAGAAATTTAAAATGAAAAAACACCATAATGATATAGCCAAAAAAATGCGGAAAGAACCTCGTTTTGGTGAATTATACAAACCTATGGATAGAATCAATCTTACTGTATTAACGAAATCTTTACCAGCTTGATCGAAGCTCATACTGCCCCGTTGTTCCATGTTAAATATAAAGAATACGAACCAAGAGCAAAGTAGACATAACAAGAATTGAACTACTAAGTATATATTATTAAGTAATAATTTTACATCGAAAAGAATAGTTTCAAAATCAGCTCGGTGTGCTAAAAAGCACACGCCACTTTCTTTATACGGAAATGTGTAATCTACCTGCAAAATCACTAAATCAAATAGATAAACAGGAAATAGAAATAAATCAAACTTCCTGTTTGAAAAATCGAAATTCATTTGAATGTTCAAATCATAATCGAAAGGTTTCTTTATTTTTCCTTCTGCAGGTGATAAATTGATTGTGAAATTCATAATTTCTGCCATTGTATTCCAAACCATAGCGTCTCTTTTATGTAATGTATAAGTTCCATCACTATGATTTCTTATTTCTAAAAATGGTAATACTTCAACGCCGAACGCTCTAAGCGGATACCCGTGAAAATTCCTAACTTTATTTTCGAACAAATTGACGTTCCGCAATGTTGAAGTATCATTATAGTATACCGGAAAGGTTTCATATCCCAGGCAGGTACCAAAAAAATTAGTCCGTATTTTAGAATAAATAGGTAATTTCTCGCAACCTTCTTCACATCTGAACCCCGTTTCGAAAGAATCTAATGGCATACCCATTTTTTTAGTCAGTCTACACCCGTAGACGTACTTAAGTTGATAATGTTCGCTAATGTAAGGATTGTAGTATGACACCAAAAACAAATCTTCAAAGTCATTGTACTGAATAATAATCGCATTGATTGCTTTATAATACCATAGGATATAAAACAGCTTTGCCATCATTATTTGGTCTTCGATCGTGTGATAATATAAGATAATATGTGACAGAGGATGCCAATACGGTAAAGAGACAACTTTACTCATAACATCTTCAAACTGTTCGAAGTTTAAACAATCGATGATTATTATATTTGAGTGATAGGGCACAGCATCTTCCACGTAGTAATCATCATCTACGTCGACGTTGGAAATAGAAAAAGTAAGGTTGAGGTTTTTTACTTTCTTGTAAAAATTATCGGGTAAATGTCCAAAACAAAGAATGTTGTTCCACCCGTTCGTTTTTAAATTTTCTCCTACTATGTCGGCCTGTAAACGTTAAACGTTATTTTAAAATAAATTATTTATCAGCATGTAACAATTTTCAACGGAACATTTATAGGAGATGTATTAGTTTTGAAAGCGCATACAACAGTCAGGAGCTGGACAATTGCCTTAAATTTCTCAGTATGCAATCTTAATAATACAAGTTCGATCTCCAGCTGATTTACCACCACTAAATTTTTTTTTCGGACATAGTGTAAATTTAGCTAAAGCGAATTGCAGCTTAGGGGATATATCGTGTCCTCAAACTCAGAAATGAGTAAGCCTGAGCCCAGCAGTGGAACGTGTATATTAAAGAATAGGTATAGTAAAGTAGTAGTATTGTGAAGGCTCGGCTTCTTTACTCATGTGACAGTATCCCAATTACGAACATCAGCTCCTCAAGACTCAAGCTTAGGATAGTGTTCTGTGACTTGAAGGCTTAATTTCATGCATGATTACGTAACATTGACAGAAGTTTAGATTACAATTTATCACATTGCACGTTGTAAAGTTGTTTTCTACTAAATAAATCCTTAAATTTTTTCTAAATACGAATTAAATGCTTACTACTCAACTCAACGCGTACAAATAACATAACGCATCAAAGCGACAGTAGCGAAGTCTCCATAGAAGCCGAGAATCCCGGCTTGCCCAATTAGACTGCTCAATCAATAATATCAACTAATAAAATAACTCGCAAACCGTTTCAAGCTATTTGCCAAATTTTCCACGCACTCCTCTGTTCTACACAGGTCATGACCTCGTAGCCTTATTATGTAACGTCAACACTAGCAATTTGCTTTCAATTCGAAACACACTGTTTCGTGTTCTTTCTGTCTCAAAGCGAACACGCAATTGACTGTCAAAATTAATAAAAGCAAAGCAATATACTGGATGGACCCCGGTCGCGGCAAAACTGTGCGATACTGCTGTCATAGCTCTCTTCTTTGCTTCTACTTCTATACGTACCTCATTATCCCACCATAACGTATTGTCTTTTCTTTCATTCGTTCTGTTACTAACATCACATACTTCGGTAACTGCATTCACTAAACCTTTCTTAACATTATGCCACACATTCTACAATCTGTCTTTCACATCTTCATCTTGTAACCTCTCTATTCTTATACGCTGTAACGCAGTGGTAGCCACAGATGACCAATGCCGCCAACGTCTGAATAAACCCTTAATTCGGCATAAGACCAGGTAGAGGTCCGTCCCTACGTTGGACCCCCGGTAAACCCTAGTATCCACCACTGCGCTCCTAATTCTTTCATCCACAGTTATGAAATCTATGATGCTTCTATCATCACCTTTTTCCTACATATATATGTAAATCTTCTTATGACGAAAGAAAGTGTTCGTCACAAAAAGATTCTTTTCCACAGATACTGTGAGGAGGCTTACAACATTCTCATTTATACTTTCATCACCAAACGTTCCCAATATCCTTTCATAGCCAAGCCTCCTCACCCCAACCCTTCCATTAAAATCTCCTAACATAACAATATTTTCATTTCCTTACACTTCATTAATACGATCCTTTCCATCACTTTCATTCGTATCCATAGCAGCCTCGGGCTTACACATTCATACTCTTTCACAATTTGACCCATTCTTTCTGAAAGGATAGTACCGATTCCCTGGCATGCCCGCTCGGTCTACTCTACACCGGACCAGTACGGGGTACGGGGTATACATGCCATGTGTAGTGACATCCTTTTCCTTCCGCTTCGTCTCATTTACACATAACACATCCACATTCCTCTATCATACATCATATCGTTTACTTCATCCATCTTATCATTCATTGCTCCACATACATTCAGCGTAGCTAGACGGGCCTCCGCAATCCTCTTTTCGCCCCCCCGGGAGACAGAACGTGACAGGCGGCGAACCACGTCGCTGGTTTTCCTCCCGGAGATTCTTCGCACCCCTGCCCTATTAAAGGGGCGCCGGGAACTCGGATCCATTTCCTTTCTATTTTGCCTCATGGAGCGAAAACTAAGGGGTGGTAAATTTTACACCGCTACCACACGGAGAGTAGTTGGTTCTGTTCTTTCGGCTTTGTCGCTCTTTTAGCACCACCTAGGGGAAACGTGTAGGGTGGGCCTAGAATTAGGTGGTCGAAGCCTACGGACGCGAGCAACTTATCCCCCCGCCATTCATATTTAATATATTCTGCACTATATTGCCGTCTTATCTTTTTTGCTTCCGACATGGCTTTGTTTTTACAAATATGTAAATAAAGTATTAAGTATTGAGTATATGTAAATACCGTTTAAAAGATTGCGCACGAAACCACTAATGAAAATATAAAACTTATTACGAGCTTTTAATGGATTTAAATACAGCATGCAACGACAGGAATAAGACAAACACGCACAAACTCGTTTATCTCTTTCGACGCTTAATCGTACTGAACAAGTTAAGACAAGTATCGATGAACTAGCCTGGCTTCGCCTTAACTGATAATTCGGAATTCCTTCCTTCCACGAAATTTCCCCGCGCGACAAGTATAAACTTGTTAGTATGCGCTGACAGCGACCATCATCGCCGCTATTCATCGACCTCCGATATATCTTCCGATTAAAATTTATCGGAACCGAAATTGGAATCGAAGGTGCATAATCAATCGGAAGTTCCGAACTTTCGGAATCGGAATCGAACTTCCGTAACATCTCTAGTAAGGTGGGTGGAATATGGAAGGCCACGTTCCTTCGAAGGCCAGTTATTAAAATGTCGTAGTTATTGCCATGCGATGACAAATTGCTTCTACTTACACAAACAACACCCATCGAACTGAAAATCACAGACGCTGCGGCGAATCGCTCGCGCTATTTTGGCAGTACGGTCCCTCGCTTCATTGATTTCGGGAATCGACGACGTTAAAATAAGATGGGTGTACCATGGAAGGCCACTCTAACAAATAAACAGTTATTATTCGTTTATTTGCTGGATAAATGAACCTAACAAATATTTAAGTAATACTTTGTTTTTACGTAACATATAAACCACTTCTTTTTAATGTAGATTTAATCGCTATTTATTAAACTTTAGTGTTAAATGACTGATTTATTATAATGGCCTTCTAAGAAGCCTTGTTCATAGCAAGGCCTTTTGGAAGAGTTCAATAAAATTTAAGTTCAATCAATTTTGATTAAATCTGCAATTTAGAAAAGTGGTTTAATTGTTATGTATTAAAACAAAGTATTACTTAAATATTTGTTAGTTTAATTTATCTTTTAAATAAACGAATAATAACTGTTTATTTGTTAGAGTAGCCTTCCATGGTACACCCACCTTATATAAGGCCGGTTTTAGTGTTCGACTGACCGTCGCACAATACTCCTAGTATTACACATAAAAAACCGGGCAAAATTGAAAATAGTGATGTTAATCTAACCGCTTCCAAAATACATTTTTCTTTACCTACGATAACCGGCTTATCAAAAGGCAGACCCCCAACCCTCAACTCCCGCGCATGTGGCTACAGCGTCAGTCGGAACCCAGTCATCGTAGTGTACGCGTGTCTTTGTTCTCAGCGCTCTCGTTTGTGTTTATCAGTTTTCTGTGCTAAAATGGCTTCGTATAGCAAACAGCAGAAGATTAACTATTCGGACACAAAATAGAAGGTTAGTACTATATGCTGAAGTATATTTTATTATGTTTCTTCCAAATTTCTACTTGTATAGCCATCAATCAACAGCGGAACTTTTTTTTATGGTTTTTTTAAAGAAATTTGAAATACATTAGTGTTTTTGTTTATGTGTCGCACCTTGTCGCCTCAAAATTTTTATGTGGGCATAAAATGTAGACTCTAAGGAAGTAGAAACATGAATAAAAAGTCCCCCCAACGTACCCCTTATTTTTTATAGCACTTAAACTATATGGGGAAGATTATAATTATTTTAACAAAGCTTATTTTTTTGTTTTCTTTTGTCATAGATCCTTCGGAAAGAGTGAAAAAAATCTCCAGAATGGAGCTTTATACTATTATCAAAGAGTTCAAAGGAAAGAGAATTGAAGAAAAATTTTCGCTGTCGGAAGAAAGACTTGTTCAACTAACTTCATGTCCACCGAAGAAACAACTGTTCTTACCCGTTATTTAAAATATTTCAAGACCAGTTTCAAAGAAAGAAGGTCGGCAGCCCGTAATACTGATAAGAGATTCGTAGAAAAATTACCACTGGAACTACCTACTTGGACCCACAAAGCAGGCCAACCAACAAAAGAATTCAGAGAATTGTGAGATCGAAGCAAGCGTCGAAGAACACAAGATTTACGGGACCGGGTACCTGTTGAGGAATTGACGTACGCCGCAAGAGTGAGTCAAGGTACTTCGGGAAATATTGATGCGTCTAAGATTATGAAAGAAATAACGTCAACGCCTACCAGAACTAAAAAGTTCCGAAAAGCAATATCGTCAGCCAAAAAAGTACCAATTGCGAGAAAATACACACCACAAGAAGCATTAGCGTTATTTGTAGAAGGTAATTTTACAATAGGGCAGTGGGAATTATTACAAGGTGGCCGAAAAGAAATTTATCCTTGCTATTCGCTTTTACAAAAAGCGAAAAAGGAGTGTTATCCCGCCGAAGATTGCATAAAAGTTACTGAAACTAGCTTCGAAGTGGAACTTCAAGCTTTGCTGGACCACACGGCTTTGCGACTACTTCAGTATTTAAAAGAAGTGATTGAAATATTATCAGAGTTGGAGAAACAACATCCTACCTTAATATCAAAATGGAGCTGTGATGGATCTAATCAGACACAGTTTAAGCAGACATTTGCCAATACTGGTGACGATGATGACAATATATTTTTAAGTTTTCTTGTACCTGTGAGAATGGTTGTTTCTATTAATGGAGAGACAAGAAAAATTATATGGAAAAATCCAATGCCTTCTTCGGTGAGATTCTGTCGTCCTATCCGGGCTCGGTTCACAAAACTAAGGATATCACAAAGGAAGAAATCACCTATATAGAAGAACAAGCAAGGAATCTCAAAGAAACTACTGGTATGGAAGATTCGGTTAAAATAAATCACAACATTTTGCTCAGAATGGTCGATGGAAAGGTATGCAATGTGGACAAACATCTAAGGACTTCAATAAACTTGAAAGAAGTAATGTTTTTGGAGAGTCCCTGAAATTCGGACTATCCATTCTGCACGCGAGAATTCGTTTCTTGAAGAGTTATTGCTGCACCTGGCGTACAAAGCGCCCTTACACAAGTGGCTAGCCCGAACGGCAGAAGATAAAAATGTTTTGAAAGAAACAAAACAGAATATACAAAAAAGCTTCAAAGAAGAGATGGGCCTTCTTGTTGACATACCCAAAGTCGGTTACGGCAATAGTAACGACGGAAATACGCCGAGAAGATTTTTTTGACAATCCTGAATGCTCATCTCGGATTACTGGAATAAATATAGATTTGATAAAACGGCTCCAAATCATTCTTGAAGTGATATCAAGCGTATATGATATTGATTCTGCGAAATTCGATGACTTTGCTCACACAACTGCCAAACTGTACGTGGAAATATATGGTTGGCATCCCATGTCACCTACAGTTCACAAGATTCTGATGCATGGCGCTCAAGTAATATCAAGTCACATTGTACCTATCGGACAGCTATCAGAGGAGGCTGCTGAAGCCCGGAATAAACATTTCCGTAAATATCGCGTAGACTTTGCAAGAAAATTTTCTAGAGTGGACTGCAACACAGATATTTTAAATAGGTTGTTGCTGACATCCGATCCCTTCATCAGCTGCAACGGAATAAAACGGAAGAAGAAAAGCAAGTCTTTTTCCCAGGAAGCTATTAGTATGCTTCTCACGAAAACACTGAATTGTGACAGTTCCAATGACGAAGATTATGAGGACCAAATCACCTGTGAACTCGGAGACAGTGATTCTGATTGATTGGGTCTCCTCATAATTATCCCCTTGAAAACAAATCCTGTTTCAAGAGTAAATACTCCCTTAGATTTGTAATTCTTTTTTAATTGTTTTTCTTTTTAAATAAATTCTTAATTATGATGAATTATTGACTTTTATTTCATAAAATAGTAAAATAAAATATAAAATAATTTTGTCCGGTTTTTAATGTCTAATACTCCTACGTGCGTCGGTGCGTACCATTGTTCCTGACGATACGCATAACCGATCGTCAGTTTGTAAAGTTCGGTGCTCTCCTGACCAAACAAACTGGCCGGACTGATACAGTCACAAACCCGGACACGAAATTGACGCGTTTGCAAATTGTTTAATTGCTGCTTATATGTTCGTAAACGTATAAGGAAGAAAATAGGTAGATATCACGTATACCCAATCGTCGTCCAAGGAACACTTCAAGGGGAATTTACTACTTTATATTCATTTTTGCGAGAAGTATAACACGTGGCCTTTTGTCCCACAGAAGTTCACAAAGACGAACTTCGGTAATTATATGCTAAGATATATGCCATGTTTGATCAAAATTACTTAAATCGCTAGAAGGTACCAGTACCAATACCTATAAAATCAAACAATATTATTAAAGTTTTGAACTAGTAGGTTCGATTTTTTTACGATGAAAGAGACAGCGAAACAGAGAGCGTAGACAGAGAAACCTATAAACAAATTGACGCCTTCTTTCGCATTCGCACACGAAAAAGATAGATTTATGCATACGTCTTGCATAGAAATGAGACAGAGCGGTGTGATTGTTTGTCCTTTTCGCCGTGCCGGTTTTTTTGTTTACCAAACTACACTTTGCTAAACAACTTTGACGTTTTGTAGCTTTAACTCATTTTCGAACACCCAAACTCGTGACTGGTTTTTTGTTTCGGGTTCGTACGCGTATATCCAGGAATCGTCACCTGATACGATGTTGTATACAGCATTTGAGGATGCTGCGTGGAATCTTTCGAGATTTCAGACGCATCAAGTAACGCGAGCCGCTTTTTGCTCTTCACAGAGCGAATGCGGTATCCATCGGGAAAACAACTTTTTTACACCTAATTGTTCATGCAAGATTATTTGTATTTGACTCATGCCAATGTCTAAAGTTGCCTGAATTTCGCGGTATGTCACATGTCGATCTTCCTCAATCAGCTTACGCACAGCATCAACGTTTTCTTAGGTGACTGCAGTTTTTGGACGACCTTGACGGGGATCATCGCTGAGCTTGACACGTCCACGTTGAAATTCAGCAAACCAGCGATAAATTGTGGTTTTGGATGGGGCTTCATCACCAAATGCAGAAATCATCCGGTCAACACACTGTTTTTGTGTTAAACCGCTTCGAAAGTCATAATAAATCATCGCTCTTGAATTTTCTCGAGTCAATTCCATTTTCTCAACGACTAAACAAGTTTGACAAAACCTTGTGACAAGACCGAGAATCTTTTTTTTAAATAAATAAATGGTATTCGATTTTTAAAACCAAGGAGTTTTCAATTAAAAAGATTTTAATATGCCAGGAACAGTGGAAATATTCCATTCCCGATACTTTTAGTGCAGCCTAGGTAGAAATGATACAGACCAGTGTGACTGTTTGTCCCTTTCTCCGTGGCGGTTTTTTGCTTAGCAAACTACACTTTGCTAAACAACTTTGACAGTTCGTAGCGATCTAAGGAGTTTACAAGATGGTTTAAGTGAGAAAAAAGTGTTTTGTGAGCTTAAGATTGGCGAATCTTGATCAGTTAAGTTCTTAGAACAATTAAAATTTTTATCTAAATATGTTTAAAAGTCATAAAGATTATTTTATAACCTAAAACTACGTTATCGTCCTTTCTCACTCGAGGCCACGCTAATCATTAGTCTATAGGTTTCTCTGTCTACGTCGATCGGTGTACACATAAATAAGCTAGTATAAACGGGAGGTTGTAGCACTGAACGCGTTTATATGTTTCCATAGCGCGTCGGTCGACTGACGGTATACATGCGGACGCGCTTGACCGACGGTCCTCGTACGCAGTGCGTAGCAATATACGCGTGCGTACGGTTGGTCGAGCACTGTCACGACTTGTGAATTTTCATATAAATGACAAGCGCGACCGACGCACACACCGACGGTTGGTCGAACACTAAAACCGGCCTTGTAAAAATAGTTTAACCCTTCAATCTGCATAAAATTCCCATGCAGTCGCATGCGTCCGTCAAATCCCGAGTGGTCGTATGCGACCGCACCCACCCACAGCAGTTTAAACCATTAAATCTTATATTTAGAGACTACTTTTCTAGGAAGAAGTTTGGCATTATAGAATTAACACAAAATTCTCTATCCTGAGGTCTAAACAAAAGTCAGTTAATCAATGTATTTTTATTTTTATTCTACTGTCAATTTACAAAGTATTACACCATAAAACACAGCAGTTTTAACCATAAAAACTTATATTTGTAGACTACGTTCGTATGAAGAAGTTTGGCATTATAGAATCTGTACAAAATTCTCTATCCTGTACCCTAAACAAATCAATTACTCTATGGATTTTTATTTTTAATCTACCATAAAATTGCGCCATTTTCGTATTGTAGACAGAGAAACCTATAGACAAATTGACGCCTTCTTTCGCATTCGCACACGTAAAAGGTAGATTTATGCATACGTCTTGCATACGAGGGCGGCACTGAAAATTTCGGGAATCAAGGAAGGGACACAACATTACTATTTAAAAATGTATTTTATTGCTTTTCGAAGTATTCTCCGCGAAATTTGACACATTTTCCATACGATGGAACTAATCATTGAAGCAACCATTCCATTCGGAAGTTGGGGTCTCCAAAATGGCCATTTTGTAGGCGTCCACAGCTTCTTCAGGTGATGAAAATCTCTGTCCACGAAATTTATTCTTTATTTTGGGGAAAGTATAGAAATCATTAGGGCTTAGGTCGGGGCTGTACGGCGGATAGTCTAATAATTCTATGTTTTCTTGCTCTAAAAACTCTTTTTGCTCTGTGTGCGGTGTGAGAACTCGCATTGTCGTGATGGAGGATGATGCGGCGGTTGCAATTCTCTTTACGGAGTTCAGAAACGACCTGTGGCAAACAAATGCTAGCATACCATTCTGCATTAACCGTTCTTTGTCCCTCAAGAGGAATAGTCGTAACATGGCCGGTTTTGGAGACAAACGTGACCACCATTTTTTTTGCAACACTCCGTGAACGAACAATTTTTGTTGGCTTTAACTCATTTTCGAACACCCAAACTCGTGACTGGTTTTTTGTTTCGGGTTCGTACGCGTATATCCAGGAATCGTCACCTGATACGATGTTGTATACAGCATTTGAGGATGCTGCGTGGAATCTTTCGAGATTTGAGACGCATCAAGTAACGCGAGCCGCTTTTTGCTCTTCACAGAGCGAATGCGGTATCCATCGGGAAAACAACTTTTTTACACCTGATTGTTCATGCAAGATTATTTGTATTTGACTCATGCCAATGTCTAAAGTTGCCTGAATTTCGCGGTATATCACATTTCGATCTTCCTCAATCAGCTTACGCACAGCATCAACGTTTTCTTAGGTGACTGCAGTTTTTGGACGACCTTGACGGGGATCATCGCTGAGCTTGACACGTCCATGTTGAAATTCAGCAAACTAGCGATAAATTGTGGTTTTGGATGGGGCTTCATCACCAAATGCAGAAATCATCCGGTCAACACACTGTTTTTGTGTTAAACCACTTCGAAAGTCATAATAAATCATCGCTCTTGAATTTTCTCGAGTCAATTGCATTTTCTCAACGACTAAACAAGTTTGACAAAACCTTGTGACAAGACCGAGAATCTTTTTTTAAATAAATAAATGGTATTCGATTTTATAAAACCAAGGAGTTTTCAATTAAAAAGATTTTAATATGCCAGGAACAGTGGAAATTCCCGATACTTTTAGTGCAGCCTATTATTTTATTTATTATATATCCATTCCCGATACTTTTAGTGCAGCCTAGGTAGAAATGATACAGAGCAGTGTGACTGTTTGTCCCTTTCTCCGTGCC